GGGTTCAATTCATAAGCTCGAGGTGGAGGCAAAAAGTGATTCGCGTCGTGCCGCGACGTTAAATCAAGCGCTTGTTGGGAGGCAACCCAGCTTTATTGCTTTCTTTTATTTATTTTTTATTTTTTAATTGTATTATTTTTTGTAGTGTCAATTTTTTAATTTTTTAGGAGAATGGAAAGCAAAGGTATTGGAAGGATGCAACAGCAAACCAAATGGCTGGAACTAAGTGTGAGGTACCCGCACGAAGGACCAAGCTTGGGAGAAGTCTGAGTACCCCATGAGTTGTTAGTGCTTCGGCCTTTGGCCTACCAGGGAGTCTCTTTTACCCTTTTATTAGTTATGGTGTGCATTGGGGACAATGCACAATTTTAAGTGTGGGGTGATGAGATTGTCTGGGTGACTTTTCATGCTACTTTAGCTGTATTAGTTTAATTAAAATAGTATTTTTTTTAAAAGATTGGACTTTTCCCGACGATGGATCTATTAGACAATTTTCTTGAGGGATTTAAGTCTAAAGAAAAAAAAAGATTTTTTTTTGTTAGGTAGTGTAGCAATTCCCCCTTGGTTTTTCTTTAAACCACGGTTCTTTTCCAAGGGTTTTATTTGAACCGGGTGTAGTTAGTTTTTTTTTTTTTTGGGAGTAAGAGCCATTGTGTTGTGCTTTGAATTGAAGCAATATCTCTTGACTTGATTATGCCTTGAGAATAGTGAGTATTTTGGTTGTGACGCTTATGCTCAGTTTATGACTCTTGTAGAAGTGCACGAGCTACTAGAATAGTACATACAAGGGTCTGAAATAAATACAAAGCCTTCTGAAGGAAACTACACAGTTGAGTAAAAGAAAAGGGAAGGGGACTCCAGGAGTTACGGGCGCTGAGCAGCTGTACCTCAAGTCTCCGCAAGCTGTCCGATCCGAGCTCACTAATAACCAAAGCTGGGACCGACTCCAAAATCTGCACAAGAAGTGCAAAGTGTAGCATGAGTACAATCGACCCCATATACTCTGTATGTGCCGAGCCTAACCTCGAGGAAGTAGTGACGAGGATAAGGCGGGTCACTCACACTACAATCTGTACGCAGTATATAATAAAGGTAAAAAAGGGAAATACGGAACAGAACAAGAAAGTCAACTACAAATAATAACTACAGCCTCAAATAACAAGCAAGTGTCGTCCAGAATTACCAATCCTTAACAATTCAAATGTGAATACCAAAAAAACAACACAACTCAAGGAACTAGAAACACATAAGTTGTTGCGGCGCGCAACCCGATCCCAGTGTACGACACAGAATCCTCCCTTATCTCACCGTAATAACATCAACAATAGAGATAATATATAATGTTGCGACGCGCAACCCGATCCTGTTATATACCATTATCAGTATCATAATTCACCCTTATTTCGCCATATCAATCCACCCTTATTCCATCTGTTGCGGCGTGCGACCCGATCCCACCGTACAATACAAATTCACCCTTATTCCACCGTATCAATCCACCCTTATTCCACCTGTTGCGGCGTGCAACTCAATCCCGCCATACCAGTACCAAATACTCAATGTGCACAGTCAATCTAACAATTCAAATCACGAGAACCTTTACGTTCAATGGATACCAAACTGAACCAAAAAAGGAAATCTTGTACAACACGGGAATCTACATAAGTAACACTACACAGCGAGACCTGTCCAGTAATTCACAATTAGAAAGTGCAAATAAGCCAATTTGAGCAAATGATAGGGAATCATGAAACTATGTAAAGATCTAACATCATTAACAGGAGAAGACATTGATTAACCGGTAGCAGTTAAGCATGGAAAACAGTTAAGACATATAACAATTAAAACAGAGAAAGAGATAATTAAGGAAAAGCAGAAAATCAGGGAAAACATATAATTCGGCGGCGTATAAGAAATCGTCACCTTGCATATACGCCACTTACATGAAATTCACATAGCACATAGTCTAAGGGTTCCTAATTCCCTCAAGTCAAGGTTCACCACGACACTTACCTGACCCTGCAGTCAATTCAAAGCTCTACCGGGGCTTTTCTCCTAGAATCCGCCTCCAAACCACTCGTATCTAACCACAATTGACTCAATAATATCAAATATTTCTAAAGGAATCAATTACAATGCATAAATTTAGAATTCCCCCAAATTTTCCCCCAAAAAGTCAAAAATCGACACCGGGCCCGCTTTGTCCAAACCTGAAATTCGGACCAAAATTCGATTACCCATTCACCCCAAGTCCGGTTATGTAATTTGTTTTGGAATCCGACCTCAATTTGAGGTCTAAATCCCAATTTCACAAAAATCCCTAATTATACCCAAACCCCCAATTTTCACCATGAAAACACTAGATTTTAGATTGAATTCTTAGGAACTATAATGGAAGATTGAAAGAAAATGGGTTAGAATCACTTACGAATGAATTCGGGAAGAAAGGGTCTTGGAAAAATCGCCTCTAGGGTTTTCTTGTTTTGATAATTTGAAGAATGAAAAAAAATCCCATTTTTCCCCTCTTTCACCTAGCTGCAGATATCGCAATTGCGACACAAAGTTCGCAACTGCGATGATCGCAATTGCGATCAATTCCTCGCAAATGCGACGCATATGTCGCAAATGCGAGCCAAGGTCCTTCGCAAAAGCGACGTTACGACTCGCAAATGCGAGTTTACCTTGATGTGATTCCAGTCGCAAATGCAACAATTATCCACCAAATGCTAACCTTGCCTCCATCGCATTTGCGGACTTCTCTTCGCAAAAGCGAAGCTGACCCAGCTCCCTCCCTTTTCGCAAATGTGAGCCTGACTTCGCATTTGCGAGGCTCGCCTTTGCGATCAAGTCCTCGCAAACGCGAGATCTGCAGACCTGATGCACCAACTATATTTTTCCTAAGTCCAATTCACTCCGTAGCCTATCCGTAACACACCCGAGCCCTCGGGGCTCCAAACCAAACATGCACACAAGTCCAAAAATATCATACAAACTTGCTCACCCAATCAAATCGCCAAAATAACACCTAGAACTACGAATTGAACACCAAATCAATTGAAATTTTCAAAAAAAACTTTTATACTTCTATTTTCACAACTGAACGTCCGAATCACGTCAAACCAACTCCGTTTCTCACCAAATTCGACAGACAAATCATAAATATAGTAATAGACCTGTACTGAGCTCTAGAACCAAAATATGGACCTGGTATCAACAAATTCAAACTTCGGTCAATTCTTAAAAAATTATTAAACTTTTAGTTTTCGACAAAAATTAATAACTCGAGCTATGGACATTCGAATTCGATTCCGGGCATATGCCCAGGTCCCAAACTACGATACAAACCCATCGGGACCGTCAAAATACGGATCCGGGTCCGTTTGCTCAAATGTTGACCGAAGTCAACTCAAATGAATTTTTAAGGCAAAATTCTTATTTTTATCAATTTTCAACATAAACTTCCCGGAAACACATCCGGACTGCGCATGCGAATCGAGGAGGACTAAAATGAGGTATTTAAGGCTTCAAAGCGCAGAATTAGGTTCTAAAACATAAGATGACCTATCGGGTCATCACAGCAATCATCTTTTAGCTTACGGTTTAAGATTGGTGAATCGCAGGGGTGTTAGCAGGATTTTTCATAAGTGGTGTCCACATTTAAAGAAGTAGACAAAGACAAATATAGTAACCGCATCATATTTAAAAAAAAAAAAAAGTGCCTTACTACAACTCTCCTCGACGAGTTTTCATATTTCATAAAGAAAAATAATGTATGTTTCAAGAAATTCTAATTAGAAAGAAAAAGAGAAAAAGTAAAAGAAGTAGAACAACTCACAATTATGATTGCGGCAAGTAATTTCGGCGATTTCGTAATGAATAGATTTTTCCAAAAAAGTAGGGTTTAAAATAATTGAACTCCAATGCGTTTTATATTGTTTATTATTCTTTTCCTATACAAAAGAGTAGTTTAGTTTTTTTTTTCGCTATAAAAATCGGATGAGTAATTGTATCCTACATGGCATCTAATTCTAATTAGTAAGGGAAAAACGGAAACCGTATTGCTCAAAACATAAAATTGAAGGAATAAAGCTGCGGAGCTAAACTCTGCCTCAAATTTCAGGGAGTTTACTAGCGAACCAACTAGCTTGCTTTGACTAAGTGGTGTCATTTTATTTTATTTGTACTGGTTTTTTTCTTTTGCATATTACTTATTATTTTCTCGGTTTCAAATTAGATGAGGTACTTTACTTTTTAGTCTGTTCCAAAAGAAATGATATATTTTTAAATTTGAAAATAATTTAACTTTATACTATTCATTTTACCCATTTTATCCTTAACGAGAAGCTTTTATAAGCACACAAATGTCATGGTCCACAAAATTTTTACCCCTTAAGTTTTTAAAATCACAAGTTCCAATTAGAGGGTGTTTGGATTGGCTTATAAAATATACTCCCTCCGGTTCACAATAAGTGTCCAATTTGCTTTTTCATTTTGGTTCAAAATAAGTGTCCAGTTATGTAATCAAGAAAGAATTCAATTTGTTTTTACAAAATAACCCCTATGTACATATCCCTAAAAAGTTTTTTTACTCCTCACATTAAATATTTAATTAGGGGTAGTTTAGTCATAGTAGGTATTTTTGTATATAATTTAGTATTTTCTTAATGGGCGTACTAAAAGCAAATTGGACACTTATTGTGAACTGGAGGCAGTAGCTTTTAAGCTAAAAGCCAAAAGGCATAAGTTGATAATATACAACTTTTGACTTTTGGCTTATTTTTGCATTTTTTATGCCTAAAAGTAAGTGCTTTTAAGCATTTTTTATCATTGTCAAACACCACACAAATTAAAAAAGTGCTTAAAAGCCAATAATCACTTAAAATAAGTCAATCCAAACGCCATCTTATTCTTCTATAAACTCGGTGCCGAGTCAAACTATATTAAAAAAAAAAAAAAAAAGATATTTGTTAAATTGAAACGGAGGAGTATACGTATATTTAACAAAAAATTTGGTCGAACCGCTTCAACAAGGGTAAATCCACCCCTGCCGAACAAGTAAATCACCCTTATTCGAATCACCAGCAAATCGGTTGGCAGCTATAGATGGAGCGGGAAGTGATAGAAGCAGAGCTAGTACTCCCAACTCACATGAAATTCAAGAAGATTCAGATGTACGACAAGTACCCTAAAGGACAGGCCAGAGGCCGTCATTGGAAGCATCTCAAGCAGATCATTCAAGCTGAAAATTACGATAATTATCCTCCTCACCTACCTACTTGTGAGTCTCAATCTTTCTCCTATACCTTTTTTTTTTCTTCTGCTTTTACAACTAATTTCTAAGGTTGAAGTCGAATCATGCATTTTGCGTTTCAATTCCTTTGCCTGTAATGTAGAATAGGGCTGTGTTCTAGATTTTGTGCAAAATATAGCTATACTTATTCAGTTTGGTTCAAAGGAAGAGTATAAGTAAGGGGGCAAAAGCTACAGTAGTATTGCCTCTATTGCCTTGGCTATATAATCATCCGTGTGCGCCTCCATTGCCTTATGATGGCACCCTCATGATGTGGCTGCCGGCAAAGTCTCACAAGGGCGAATGATCTCATAGCTGTTTGGATTATTCCCTAAAGCATAGGACATATAGCAAACACTTACCGAGCTAGACCTTGTCTTACAATTTCTAATGAGGCATGAACAGCCTTATCTACTAGCATGCATGTAAAAAATAAGAACTAGAACGAACTAAGTACTCTATGATCATCATAGAGTTTATAACATACTCTACGATGATATTACATATGATGATGCTAATAAAATGGTAAAATAGAATGATGTAGAGATAAAATTCTTGCCCTTTCTTCTCTAATCTTGTGAACTCTTCAACTTGTAGAACCTTGTCTTCTTCATCAACCCTCTTCAAAATATCTTCAATCTTTATTATTTCATCTTGGATCTATTGGACCTTGTGGAGGTGGTAGGGGAAGCCCACTTTTGCTTTGCAACCCTCATCGGAAGTTGCCTAATGGCAGCCCCTTGTGTCACCTTACCATCCCAGCTATGTTGCCTCTCATGTGCCTTCTTCTTGCTTTTGTTGGAACCACTTCTCAAGTGTCTAGGTGAATCCTTCCCTAGCTACATTGGCTAAGGATGCATCTAGAAGTTCTTCTTCTTCCCCTTCTTCGTAGAAACCTTTTCCCATATCCACACCAAATGCGTCAATAGTATTGTATCCGGGCAATAGTGCACCTTGCTCATTCCTCCGATTATCAAGAGCTCTCAAAGTGTCCATATCATGAGAAACAAGAGCATGAAGAATATTGATAGGTGTCAAGTTGTATGTTGCAGCCACTCCAGATGTGCTAACTAGTTTTCCAGAAGACTTTTGGATTAAATTAGCCTTGGAAGACTCACCTGATTGCTTAAAATTCTTCAAACTTGCTGCTGCGATGGGCTTGTGGAGAGCCTTAGAATTAGAGCTATTCCTCTAGCCAACTGCTGCAATTTGCTGCTGCCCGATGGTACAAAAACAAGTGCATTTGGGCTTAAACCTTTCTTGCTTGACACACTATTAGTTGAATTGGAAACCTGCTCGTTATTCACCTTTGCTGCCTCTTCATTGGATCTCGGACTCGATGAAAACTGATCTGCCGCATCATCACTATCATCTTGAAGGCTATCTGCATAATCTTCTTCATCCTCCTCTATTTGATCAGCCCATGTCTTTCTATTAAACACAGCTGCACTTGTCACAGCTTGTTCTTGTTTAGAAACAAAAATCTCGCTTGTAGAATTTGCTTGGGAAATTGTTTGCACTAGTTGTTGATTGTTTCCAGTAGATAGTAGTTGCTGCAATGAATCTCCATCTTGTTCACCAAATGACTCTATAGATTGGGAGGGAACTTCATGAACCGATGTGTTTAATGTAACCAAAGGTGTCTTGATCATAGGATTTGTATTCATCACCAAATCTGCCTGTGTTTCCTTTACAAACTTTGCAATTTCTGGACTGGTGAATTTCAGTGTTGGTACAGCTTCATTAGGTTCTTGGATATTAATAGCATCAACAGATACAATTTCTTTTGAAGCGTGTGGTCGAGCATCTATTTCTTTTGAGTTTTTGTGTTGCACTCCACTGCCTATCGAGCTGGTTTTTCCAGTTATTAACGTTGCCTCATCATCCACCTGTTGCAACTTATTCCCAGCCTCCTTCAAATCATGATCACGCTCATCCACCAAAGCATCAAAAGAGTTCGACATACCAATGGTATTTGCTGGTAATATCTGATTTTGATGGCCTGGAGATTGCTTATTGCCAGGAGTTCGATTCACCACTGTGCAGTCATTATTCCTTGTAGCAGGTTTGCTTGGAATTGTAGCAGATTTCCCTGGAGTATCAAATACCTGGCCTACACCTTACCCTAGAATTAACAACCTTAGGTGTAGCTCGATCCATTGTTCCAGTCGCTGCAACAGTAGGTTTCAACATCCCAAAAGCAGACTGCTCAACTCCAGCTGAAAGTTGAGGATGTTTAGCCTCTATATTTGATGCTTTAGAACCTGTAGTAGCTGCACACTCCAAAGCCATAGCACCTACCTGTTCTTGCCCCTCATTAGCCACACCAGTAGCTGCAAAACCTGCTGCTTTATCAGCTGAATCACCAGCTGCAACAGAAGGTCGATCACCCCCTGCTACTGCCGCTGCACCAGTACCATTCAGCATAGGATTAGCTTGTAAAGCTGAGTTCACAGCTTTGTAAATCCTCGCCAAGGCTGTAGTAGCAGGGACATCACGTGAAGGTTTAGCAGGACCCTTCACCATCTTTGAGACAACACCTATAGGATCATCTGTAGCAGCGCTATTGTTTAATGCATCACCCTCTCGATTTCCAGTGGTTTTTTTTTTGTTGTTGTAGCTCATCACCTTTGTCACCTAATTTTACATGTGCAAGTGCATCATCTCCAATCCTAGCCGACCTATGATTAAGCACACCTGTAGAGACATTCCCAGGTTCCGTAGGAGTCAAAACCTCTGACTAATCCCGTTGCAGCAGTAACTTGTTTAACTCCTTCATCCTGCACCTTCAACAGCTGTTGTTGATCATCATGAGTCTCATCTGGAAGTTTCAGGCCCTTTGTAACATCTGTAGCATTAAAATCATGCAAAGTTGCATCTGGAGTATTGCCTGGCATGATCTCTAAACTTTTAGAGCCGCCAAGGTCCTTCTCCTCACGATCAGCTGTAGCTTTTGGAACACCAGCATCAACCACTTCGTTAGCAGACTGTTGCACCTCTCTTCGATCCTCAACAGTCACCTGCTTTTGCATTCCACTATTACCTGCTTCGAGGATTTTACTAGCAGCTCGCTTAGCATTCAAAAGCTCCCTGGCATCACCTTGATATTGTTCTACTGTCTCCCCATCGTTCATCGACTGTTGGTGTGGATCAAAATCATTCTTAGCCTTAAGTAGTCGACATGCTTTCTCCCCATGGCCTTGATGCTTACAAACTTCACAATATAATGGAAGATCATCATAAACTAATTCCTGCAAGTGCTCAACAACTTCACCAGTCTTCTCATTCACAAATTGTAACCTCACGTTGGTTGGCAGCTTATAACGCAAATCCAGTTCAACCTTTACCCTACCAGTGCTAGGTCTTGACTTCACCATTGTTGCTCTATCAATTGCAATTGGTTTACCAGCAGCATAAGCTATAGATAAGAGCGACTGCCTAGCAAATAGATTAGGCGGCAGAAGAATCCAAACAAAAGCTCTAGATGACTCTTCTTTAGGATTAGACAAAAACGACCATGGAAAAACTCTAATTTGGAACTCTTCACCATTGCACTTCAAATAATACACAGATTTTAGATGCGGCTAAAACAAAATTTTCATATTTGTCAAACCTAACCAAAATATTCGACGAGCCATTACTCCGATCAAACATCGGTTTGTCATCCCAAAAAAATTCGGACAGTAACTTGCGTAATTCCAGAATTTCAGGCTGTCCATACGAGAATTTGAGCACTAAAGCTTGATGAAGACCTTCTTCCTTTGTGTATTGATCAACTTCTTCCATGGTAAACTTGATAGTAGGAACTCCACGAGTAAACTCAATAGGTTTCAGATTCGTTTTTTGTAGTTTTTGGACTGTTTGGTTTGGAATTAGTTGAGTAGCATATGTTGTGTTAGAAATAGGGTTTTTGGTCGTCTCTCCTACAGCTTGAAGCTGGGGAGAGGGCTGCACGTCCATGGCAGACAATACTACTCCATGTCACCCTAGAGGAGAGGGCGTGGGTTTAGGGTAGTGGGGGTTTAGCAACAGTCTATTTGTTTCCCAGTCTAGGGACATTATTTTGCAGATATTCCTTTTAATCATTCGTAGCTTAATGAATATTTCAAAGTTTTGACTTTGTTTGCTCAATCTCTGTAGATGTTAACATTGAATCACCACCTTCTATGCATCCATGCAAAAAGATATGCGACGTAACAGGATTCGAGGTACGTTTGCCCCAGAGTGCCTTGTATGATATGGTCTAAATTTCTGCTTGCTTTCCTGTGCTGTCTTACTGTCACATCCTCTCACTGAATAGGGGTTGTGTGCATTCTTAGTCCTTTATGCCATCAGAAATTATTTTGCAGCACAAATGTTTTTGGATGGTAAACAATTCTTATGTTTGACATGCAGGCACCATATTTTGACCCAAGAACTAAACTCCGTTATGCTAACACCGAGGTTTTTAAGATAATAAGATCGCTTCCTAATGACTATGTTCAGAGGTATTTGGCTCTCAGAAATGCAGCTGTTGTTTTGAAATAGGTGCAGTACGAGAAATAGATATTTGTAAACTTAGGTGGAAAGTAGAGTACGTTTGAAGTTATAGTTTTTGAATGCTCAGTGCATAAGTCTCCGGTTATGAAAATAGTGTATTTTTAGACTTGTACTAAAAGAAGAAATCAAAAGGCCTAATTTTGTTAGATCTCTTAAAGTTCCTGTTTTCGAAACTTTGCAGCAAGGATTATTGATAAAACTAAGAGTACCTACTAATTACCAAGGAAATAGAATTAGAAAATTAGTTGTATATAAAGTTAGCGGAAACTAAAGATTTGATTAACGTGCCCATAGTTGATGAAATGCTATACATGTTTATATATGTGAATTTTGCTTGTGGAAGTTCGTATTTAGCTCATCTACGAGAGAATTTAGCTTCTGTTGAATAGTTGAACTGCCTCATTTCTCATGTTCTGGTATTGTGTTTTTGCAACTCTTACCTATTTGGGGCAATCCAAACAGTGCAATCTTCCTTGCTCCAACTCCATATAAAGTCTAGTGTCAAACAAAATATATACTCGTATGATCCAGCCTAAATAAAATATTCATACATAAAGGGTGTGTTTTGTAAATTGAAAAATATTTTTCGGAAAATATTTTTCAATTTTCCCATTTTTGGTTGGCTTAAATGTATTGGAAAATATTTTCCTTATGAATTCATTTCTCCAATTGGAGGAAAATGTTTTCCTTATCAAGAAAAAAGGAAAACATTTTTCAAAACTCCTTCTCAACCTTCCTCATCCTCCCCAATCCACCCCACCCCCTCTCCAAAAAGACTTTTCTTTTTTTTTTAAATTTC